TCCCGGATATTCAGCAAGCTTGAAAAAAAAACAAGCAAAACAATAAACATTCATTTATTAAAATGTCTTAACTTTCTGGAGGCCTCCATTTTTTATTTTTTTGAGTAATATCCCGGGTTCTCCCTGGGCCAGTTCCAGGATATTGGAAAAATTTGAAAAACATGAAAAAATTTGAATAATTAAAAAGATAATAAGTCTTTACATTTAATATATATTCTTTTAATATCTGGAGGCCTCCAAAAAAATGAAAAAATAGTTTCCCGGGTTCTCTCTGGGCCAGTTCCGGGATATTTAAAAAAATCAAAAAAATCAAAACAAATAAAGAATTCAAATCATTTAAATATTTTTTTAAAAACAAAAATCTGGAGGCCTCCAAAAATTTCAAATTAAAAAATATAAATAGTTTCCCGGGTTCTCTCTGGGCCAGTTCCAGGATATTTAAAAAAAAAATGAAAAAATCAAATAATTTCAATAGTTCAAAAAAAAACAATCTGGAGGCCTCCAAAAAAAAGTTTCCCGGGTTCTCTCTGGGCCAGTTTCAGGATATGTAAAAAAAACCAATATTTAAAAAAAAAAAAAAAGAAAAGAAAAAGAAATTCAAATAATTTAAATATTTATATTGTTTAATTCTATTGAAATATCTGGAGGCCTCCAAACAATTTTAAAAAATATACATAGTTTCCCGGGTTCTCTCTGGGCCAGTTCCAGGATACTTGAAAAAATTAAAAAAATCAATTAATTTAAATAATTCAATTAAAAAAAACAATCTGGAGGCCTCCAAAAAAAAGTTTCCCGGGTTCTCTCTGGGCCAGTTCCAGGATACTTTAAAAAAATCAAAAAAAAATCAAATAATTTAAAAATTTAAAAATATAAATAGTTTCCTGGGTTCTCCCTGGGCCAGTTCCAGGATATTTAAAAAATTGAAAAAATTCAAATAATTTAAAAAAATCAAATAATTTAAATATTTTTATTTATTTTTTTTTAATCTCTGGAGGCCTCCAAAAATTGAAAAAAAATAAAAAATATAAATAGTTTCCTGGGTTCTCCCTGGGCCAGTTCCAGGATATTTAAAAAATAAAAATAAAAAATAAAAAATAAAAAATAAATTTTTTTTTTTTTTTTTTTTTTAAATTTCTGGAGGCCTCCAAAAATTTAAAAAAAAATAAAAAATATAAATAGTTTCCTGGGTTCTCCCTGGGCCAGTTCCAGGATATTTTTTAAAAAAAAAAAAAAAAAAAAAAAAAAATCTGAAGGCCTCCAAAAATTTAAAATAAATAAATAAATAAAAATTAATTTAAAGAAAAAATCAAATAATTTAATTATTTATATTCTTTAAAAAAAAAAAAATCTGAAGGCCTCCAAAAATGTAAAAAATAAATACATAAAACTCAATTAATTTAAAGAAAAAACAAATAATTTAATTATTTATATTCTTTTTTTTTAAAAAAGAAATAATTCTGGAGGCCTGCAAAAATTTAAAAAATTTAAAAAATATAAATAGTTTCCTGGGCTCTCCCTGGGCTAGTTCCAGGATATTTGCAAAAATTTAAAAATTCAAATAATTTAAAAAAATCAAGTAATTTAAATATTTATATTTTTTATTTTTTTTAAATTTCTGGAGGCCTCCAAAAATTTAAAAAATAAAAAAAAATATAAATAGTTTCCTGGGTTCTCCCTGGGCCAGTTCCAGGATATTTAAAAAAATAAAAAATTCAATTAATTTAAACAATTCAAATAATTTAAATATTTATATTTTTTATTTTTTTTAAATTTCTGGAGGCCTCCAAAAATTTAAAAAATTAAAAAATATAAATAGTTTCCTGGGTTCTCCCTGGGCCAGTTCCAGGATATTTGAAAAAATTGCAAAAAATCAAATAATTTAAAAAATTCAAATAATTTAAATATTTATATTTTTTATATTTTTTAAATTTCTGGAGGCCTCCAAAAATTTAAAAAAAATTAAAAAATATAAATAGTTTCCTGGGTTCTCCCTGGGCCAGTTCCAGGATGTTTAAAAAAAAATCAAATAATTTAAAAAATTCAAATAATTTAAATAATTTAATTCAAATATTTATATTTTTTAAATTATCTGGAGGCCTCCAAAAATTTAAAAAATTTAAAAAATATAAATAGTTTCCTGGGCTCTCCCTGGGCTAGTTCCAGGATATTTGAAAAAATTTAAAAATTCAAATAATTTAAAAAAATCAAGTAATTTAAATATTTATATTTTTTATTTTTTTTAAATTTCTGGAGGCCTCCAAAAATTTAAAAAACAATAAAAAATATAAATAGTTTCCTGGGTTCTCCCTGGGCCAGTTCCAGGATATTTAAAAAAAATTAAAAAATCAAATAATTTAAAAAATTCAAATAATTTAAATATTTATATTTTTTATTTTTTTTAAATTTCTGGAGGCCTCCAAAAATTTAAAAAAATCAAAAAAAAAAAATATAAATAGTTTCCTGGGGTCTCCCTGGGCCAGTTCCAGGATATTTAAAAAATTTAAAAAAAAAATTCAATTAATTTCAAATATTTATTTATTTTTTAATTTTTTAAATTTCTGGAGGCCTCCAATTTTTTATTTTAAAAAAAAAAAAAAAAAAAAAAAAAATTCAAATAATTCAAATATTTATTTATTTTTTACACTATTTTAATTTTTGGAGGCCTCCAGAAATTTAAAAAAAAATCAATCATTCAAATAATTTAAAAAATTCAAATAATTTAAATATTTATATTTTTTAAATTTTTTAAATTTCTGGAGGCCTCCAAAAATTTAAAAAATTTAAAAAATATAAATAGTTTCCTGGGTTCTCCCTGGGCCAGTTCCAGGATATTTAAAAAAAAATGAAAAATTCAATCAATTTAAAAAATTCAATTAATTTCAATATTTGTTTATTTTTTAATTTTTTTCAATTTCTGGAGGCCTCCAATATATATTTTTTTTTTTTTTTTTTTTTTTTTTAAAATCAAATAATTCAAATATTTAGATTTTTTAAATTATTTAAATTTTTGGAGGCCTCCAGAAATTTAAAAAAAATAAAAAAATATAAATATTTAAATTAATTGAATTTTTTAAATTAATTGAATTTTTAAAATTTTTCAAATATCCTGGAACTAGCCCAGGGAGAGCCCAGGAAACTATTTATATTTCTTATTTTTTTTAAAATTATTTAAAAAATATAAATATTTGAATTAGTTGAATTGTTTTTTAAAATTGTTTGAATTCTTTATTTTTCCATTTTTTTTTAAACATCCTGGAACTGGCCCAGGGAGAACCCAGGAAACTATTTATATTTTTTAATTTTTTTAAATTTTTGGAGGCCTCCAGAAATTTAAAAAATATAAAACAAATAAATATTTAAATTATTTGAATTTTTTAAATTATTTGTTTTTTTTTATTTTTGCAAATATCCTGGAACTAGCCCAGGGAGAGCCCAGGAAACTATTTATATTTTTTAATTTTTTAAATTTTTGGAGGCCTCCAGAAATTTAAAAAATTTAAAAATACAAATATTCAATTTATTTGAATTGTTTAAATTAATTGAATTTTTTGAATTTCTTCAATTTTTGGAGGCCTCCAGAAATTCCAAAAATTTAAAAAATATAAATATTTAAATTATTTGAATTGTTTAAATTATTTGATTTTTTTTAAATTTTTTAAATATCCTGGAACTGGCCCAGGGAGAACCCAGGAAACTATTTATAATTTATTTATTTTTTTAAAATTTTTGGAGGCCTCCAGAAATTTAAAAAAAATAAAAAAAAATATTTAAATTATTTTATTTTTTTAAAATTAATTGAATTTTTTATTTTTTTTTAATATCCTGGAACTGGCCCAGGGAGAACCCAGGAAACTATTTATATTTTTTTAATTTATTTAAATTTTTGGAGGCCTCCAGAAATTTAAAAAATATAAAACAAATATAAATATTTAAATTAATTGAATTTTTTAAATTACTTGATTTTTTTAAGTTTTTCAAATATCCTGGAACTAGCCCAGGGAGAACCCAGGAAACTATTTATATTTTTTAATTTTTTTTTAAATTTTTGGAGGCCTCCAAAAATTTAAATAATTTAAAAAATATAAATATTTGAATTAGTTGAATTGTTGTTTTTTTTTTAAAAAAAATAAAAAATATTTGAATTCTTTATGTTTTTATGTTTTTTAAATATCCTGGAACTGGCCTAGGGAGAACCCAGGAAACTATTTATATTTTTGATTTTATTTTTAAATGTTTGAAGGCCTCCAGAAATTCCAAAAAATTAAAAAATATAAATATTTAAATTATTTGAATTGTTTAAATTAATTGATTTTTTTTTTAATATCCTGGAACTAGCCCAGGGAGAACCCACGAAACTATTTATATTTTTTATTTTTTTTTAAATTCTTGCAGGCCTCCAGAATTTTTTCTTTTTTAAAAAAAAGAATATAAATAATTAAATTATTTGTTTTTTCTTTAAATTAATTGAGTTTTATGTATTTATTTTTTACATTTTTGGAGGCCTTCAGATTTTTTTTTTTTTTAAAGAATATAAATAATTAAATTATTTGATTTTTTCTTTAAATTAATTTTTATTTATTTATTTTTTTTAAATTTTTGGAGGCCTTCAGATTGTTTTTTTTTTTTTTTTTTTTTTTTTTTAAAAAAAAAACTATTTAAATTATTTGAGGTTTTTTTTTAAAAAAAAAAAAAAAAAAAAAAATATATATTTGATTTGTTTAACATTTTTTAAATATCCTGGAACTGGCCTAGGGAGAACCCAGGAAACTATCTATTTCTATTTTATTTAGAAAACATCAAAAAATGGAGGCCTCCAGAAATTTAAAAAAAAATCATTGTTTTTTTGATTTATTTATTTATTTATTTATTTTAATATCCTGGAACTGGCCCAGGGAGAACCCGGGAAACTATTATTCAGGGCCTTGGGCGACACATAGGCCCAATTCTTCCCTCTTACCTCCCCCCCCCCCCGCCATCCCCCGCCCTCTGCCCTTCCCCGCCTGACATCCACTCAGACATGCTGATGGCATTGTTGAAGCCTCACTTGGTGGCCCTTGAGAAGCAAAGACTTCCGGGTTGATTAGCACGGCTCCAGCGTACCAGCAAAACCAAAACCTGGGCCCTCGGGAAAGCCGCCGGAAAGAAACGCGAGACCCAACGGGCCCCACCTTCCACCGTTCAAACAAGACAAACAAACAAAACAACCACCCATACTGGCGCCATGATTTTACCACTACCAAAGTCCCCCCCAGTGTGGTGGTTTACAGGGAAACCTCCCCAGTTTCTGACTTTCACGACCCCTAGAAATAGTCCTATATAACGACAAACCAACCCACCAAGCCATAGACGCACCGGGCAGCCATAGGTCGTAGTCAGCTTTTGCCACAGCCGGCCCATGGCCCAAGCCTCCACCAGGGCGTTGCCCAGCACCTCGTCCTCCCTCGGCACCTCGGAACTTTCTGGGCGAATTATACTATGGGTGTGGCTCAAAAATAAGAAAACGCGAGGGTTAGAAAGATTTTTAGTCTTTGATTCTAGTACTTCTTTTTGAGACGCATCACCAGCTATGTTCCTTTTCTTTTGGTGCTTAAAGGGTGGCAAGCCCATGGCTCCCTACTATACAGGCAAATGGATCCACGGAGAACGATAGTTCTTAGTCTTCCAAAACCCGACATGGCCCACTTCTACAAAGGAAGCAAACTCCATTGAGGAATCTTCTGACATGAATCGTTTCACCATCGAATCGCCCTTAACTTGCAGTGGTGTCTGCTGCACCCAGTTTGGTCTTTATTTAGATAGCATCTTTGCCATCCTGATGCCATAGTGCCGTGATCCCCCAAACATTGCGGGAGGCCCCGTCCTCCGCCAGCCGCAGGGCCTGCTGCCACTGCTGGGCGCGGCTGGCCGCCACCGCCAGCCCGGCGGCCACTGCGGGGTTGGCGTCTCCCCGCAGCAGGCGGCACGCCCAGCGCCAGGGCGCGAACGCCGCCGGCGTCGGAACCCGGCCGCCGAGTGTCGCGAGGTGAAGGGCGCGGGTCCACCTCTGCTGCTTGACGGCGCAGCTGATGCAGGTGCTGCAGGTGATGGCGTCGGGCCGCAGCTCGGACTCCTAGCGTCACACATGAGTCACGATCAAAACCCGGTACAAAAATAGTTCACCCAGAACCATGTAAAGAATTAAGAAGGCGGGCGCAGCTATTTATGGGTGGGATCGTCCCTTACTAACCTTCATCTACCGGGTTTTGATTGTGACTCAAATGGGAACCAACGAAAACGCGTGCATGTAGGACTGCGTCTGAAATGGACCGTTCTGCTCGGTGAGACTCTGGAAACGCGCACTACGGTATGGGATGTCCTGCAGCCGCTCGAGGGAGCGAGCTGAAAGCAGCCAATCTGCACTGTGCGTCGCTGCAATCACGGTGTTGAAGCTGATGACATCCCTTCGGATCTGCTCCCCTGGACACAAGGCCAAGCCTAGTATCACTCCTGCACACTCAAACTGGGCGGCTCTTCCCCTTGAGCAAATCTGACAACTTTTGCACGTTTGTGGAGAAGCAAACATTTTCCGCTAAGGTCACAAAGTCCAAAGTCCGCACCAGTGCCCAGCCTGACATCCGTTCCAGCAAGCCGACGCCCTCTTCCCACCGCGAGGCCTTCTCGCAAACGCTCAGCGCAAGGTTCCCATCCAGCGTGCATGACCACGCGGCCAGCAGCACCTCCCTCCAGCGGCCCTGCGCCCGGAAGATGTTCATGGAAAATTGCCGCTCCGCGGCCTCCAGGCGCATAGCACCAACCAACAAACAAGCAAACAAACAAACAAAACAAAACAAACAAAACAAAACAAACAAGTAAAACAGACAAAACAAACAAACAAACAAACAAACAAACAAACAAACAAACAAACAAAACAAAACAAAACAAAACGAAACAAACAAAACAAAACAAACAAACAAGTAAAACAGACCAAACAAACAGACAAACAAACAACCAAACAAACAAACAAAACAAACAAAACAAACAAAACAAACAAACAAACAAACAAACAAACAAACAAGTAAAACAGACAAAACAAACAAACAAACAAACAAACAAACAAACAAGTAAAACAGACAAAACAAACAAACAAACAAACAAACAAACAAACAAACAAACAAACAAACAAACAAACAAACAAACAAGTAAAACAAGCAAAACAAACAAACAAACAAACAAACAAACAAACAAACAAACAAACAAACAAACAAACAAACAATACAAGACAAGACAATACAATACAAACAAACAAACAGACGCACACATGCATTCCTCTCACAAACCCACATCCCCCCCCCAAACAAATCCATTCTTCCAGTCCTCCTTGAAGCGCACCACGCCCTTCGCCTCCGCCAGACCCTGGGTGCTTCGTTTCGAACGAACGGGCCGTCCCCGCCCACCCCCTCCCAGTGGCTCAAACATGCGTGTTGCTTCACGTGCACGGCTGTCCTTCCCCTTGAGGTTTTTGTTAAAAAAATGAGTTTTTTTTGGGGGGGGGCAGAATAACACAGAAACGAGTGTGGGTCCCCCGTTGGCGCTGATCAATCCCACGTGCCAAGGGGATTTCTCCATGGAGCAACCAACATGAAGTACATGTGCTGCCATTTCTTGAGGGTACCCTTTTGGTGGTTCGCTTTTTCAAGGAAACTGTCCCAGGGAAACCACCCCCCCATTTTTTGGCACCCTCAACCAAAAAAAAAAAGAAAAGGGGGGGGCGAGCTCGCCAGCCCCCCCTAAGCCCCCGGCCGCGAGGGTGGTGCTCCAGCGCCCCGCCAGGCTCCCGTAGCTGAACTCGTCCGGCCGCTGCGCCGTTCTCCGCGCAGCTCGCAGCAGGGCCAGGCCCAGGTCCCAGCGGCCCTTGCAGGCGCCCAGGCACCCGTTCCAGCAGAACCTAACTCCAAGTGAAAAGAAAACGAGAGCACGGGTTTTTGTTGGGGCCTGGAGGAGGGAGAGAAAAAAAAAAGAAAGAAAGCCAGTTGCAAGTTGCGCAAGGTTCCTGATCCAGGTGGTTTGCGGACCTTTTTTGCTCAAAGCTACGTGCCTAGATGCAGCTAAGTACAGCTTGCATGCAACTACATGCCCATCGCGCTGCAATCTTTCTCTGGGTCCTCGTCCCAGCACCTTTGAAACAGGCCGCAAATCTTCCTGCATTCTTGCGTGGAAGACGACCTCTTGGCATAGCCGTAGCTGCCTTTCTGGCACTTCCCCCAGGAGAGATCGCAAACACAGCACTTGTGCCCGGTCTTCTCATCCTCGGCCCCCTCTGACTTGTCCATCTTCTCCGAAGCTTCAGAAACAGCCTGCTGATGCACCTTGATGGTTTGACGGGTGCCAGTGGCGCACACAGCCAAGAGCATGATGCTCGCGATTCTCATGGGCGCAATGCGTGAAGAAAACTTGGCAAATCTACCTGACACTTTGCCTGCCACGAGCCCAAATAGCCCCTGGAGGAGAATGTGTCTTTCAGGTCTCTTTTAGGTTCAATGGGGGGGAGGGAACTCAAAACACTCAGGACCTAATGATTGCCTTGCTCAACCATGGTCACAGCTCGAAGCTTGCTGAGAGCTGCTACGGGCTCTGCAACACCAAAGCTTGGAAGCACAAGCGCAAGCGCTGCAAAACCTATCGGACCGAGGGCCTCATTGCTTCGGCAAGGGGCATATCGGGTTCACAGCCGCGGGCTTGCATGACCTGCAGCGTTTGCAACGCTGGCCGCCAGGCGCATTTGCAGATCGCTGCAGAGTAGTGGAACTTGTTGGGCTCTACGAGGTTCTCCCTGGGCCAAGCGCTGCGCCGAGCCCTTGTCTAAACATGCTTCTACACAACATAAACAACCTGCTCTTGGGCTTCCATGGGGCCATGAAACTTATGAATCTGTAAACTATCTCTGGGATTCCGTGGGACATGGCCTTTTGTTGCTTGCAACGTGGGCCATTTGTTGAAACCAATGCCCAACCCTCCACCCTGCCTGAGCCTTTGCAACACGGAGCCTTCCTTGGCCGTGGGCCGCGCCATCGCCGGAAAAGGCGGCGGGCCCGCGGCGGCGGGCCCCGGGTTGGCTCCATTGACGCCATGGCGGGTAGGGAGCTCTGTTCACATGAGCCAGGCTGACAGGTGGGTCCGTTGCTCTTCTGGCCACTGGCACAACCTCTCTCACTTGTGGTCGTTGGCTTTTGGGCCGGCCCTAGGCCCAAAATTGCGAGATGCGCGGCGGAGGCATGGCGCGACATGGCTTGGTGGGCTCAAGGGGCCAAAGCAAGCGCGACTGGGTGCATCCAGGCGTCAAGGGAGTCAGGTAGCCATGTTTCCAAGCAGATCCAAAGTAAACTCGGATGATGGACGCGATCATTGTCCTGAGTCCGGGTGACTTGCTGCAAGCACTGTAAGTGACTGTAAGCCGACCGGATGCTCAGGATTCCATGATTCTTTCTAAACTTCCCCCCCCCTCCCCTCCCCCTCCAACACAACACTCTGTATGTCTTGGCCTACTGAACCAGAAACTGCCTGAAACACTACCAGAACTTCTCACCTCGGCTGGCCGAGGCTTTGGCTGAATGGACACCACAGCGACGAAGGAGTTGCTGGCCATCCTGGCGAATTGTGCACGTCTAACACCTCCGACCCCGCAATTGCGCCCAGCCAAATGGCCATGGGTCAAAACCCGAATCGTCCAGTGAACATGCCAATCCCCACTAAAATAGGCTAAAACTCAGGTGCACCTACCAAGATCAAGATGGTGCCACTGCTCTTGACTCAGTGGCCAAATCAAAGGGGGTAGATGGCCAAAACCGGGCCCCCGGGCACCAAGCCGCGCCCGGCGCGGCCGTCTGGGTCAAGGCCCAGCAGCTCCAGCCAGGAGCCTTCAGGCCGTCGCAGCTGGAACCGGGTTCATAGGTGGCCTTTTGGAAAAATCGATGGGCTTCCCTGGGAAATGGAACAAAACCCATCTAAACCAGTGGAACCCCTGGTACATGGAACAAAACCCCTATCTAAACCAGTGGAACCCATCTATTTTCAATCAAACTAACCTAAAAAGGGCACCTATGCCTGGGTGTTTTTAACAGCCAGCTTTGACAAGCACAAGCGGGGTAAACCAGGACCAGGACCACAACCGAATTTGTTTGACACGGAAGGCACGTGGCTGTTTTTGGGGCTAAATTGCAAGTCACCCTTGGAGCCTCCAAAAGAGTTTAATGAGTCCGTGTGCAAAAGCAGCTGGGGCGGCGCATCCCGTGTTGGCCACAACTCTAGAAGTTGGAAGCTTTCCTGGCTTTCCTCTGCCCATTTGCCTGATCACTATGAAATGAGTGGTAGATGTCAATTATAATTTAGCAAACCTTGCGCGGTCACTGCCAGCCCCTGCGAGATCGGCACCATCCCAGGTCAAAGGATCTTCGGAAAACCCGTGGGCTATCCCTCAAGCCCCTTTTCTGCAAGAGACCGGAGGCCACTTTGGGTACTTGCAGAGAAAATGGGCTCTGTGTCCGGATGCACAAGCTGAGGGAGATGGACAGCCGTTGAAGGCAGCTCGGGCTGAGCAAATCACTGACGAGCGGCGAAACTTGATGATGAAGGCGGCTGCCAGCAGAAATACCGGATAGTAAATGATCAGTGCTGGGATGGCGTGCGTCAACGTCACAACCATCATGACCTGACTGACTGACAGTCGGCGAGAAAATCAGGCATCCAAGCCATGCCAAGAGCCCCGCCCTCGCACCAAGCACTTGGCTGGGCCGCCGGCAAACATGGAGGATCCGAACCTCAAGCAGGGCAGCGGGGGAAAAAGGAAGCCCCCGGAAGGCCGTCTAGGGCCGAAGGTCCGAACCCAGGAATCAGAACAACACTGAGCAAGCGGCAAAACCTAAGACTACTCTCTCGGCGATTTCGAATGGGAAGTTATCGTTCTTGTGGCTTCACTCTATCGTTCCTGGAGGTTTCTGACACTTGTCCTTTGAGATTTTCACGAAACCGAAGACATGTTCTCTCCGCACCGGAGAGTTTATCCTCTGCGCTCAACCCGAAACCCACCCTAAACCCACCCTAAACCCACCCTAAACCCACCCTAAACCCACCCTAAACCCACCCTAAACCCACCCTAAACCCACCCTAAACCCACCCTAAACCCACCCTAAACCGACCCAGCGACTGCCGAGCCGCTGCATGATCACCACCAGCAGCACGGCTCGGTGCCAGTCGCGCCAGCCCTGGCCGTCGTAGTCCGCGCCGAAGATGGGGCGGCCCAGCAGCCGGGCCAGCAGCCAGTCCCAAATGATCATGGACATCATGATGGAGCGCCTCAGGGCGCTCCAAATGGGTATGGCTCAACAAAATCGGTACCAACATGGGTGGCCCTGGTAAGTGGAAACATGGACCCAAAGCTGCATAACCCTAGCCACAAATGGCTGTGGTGGTCAAAACCACTTTGCGATTTCATTTTGGTTGGATTGGTGAATACACCACCCATTTTAGGCTGTATTTTAGTGGGGATCGGGATGTTCACTGGGGGTACGGGATTTTGACCCATGGCCTAATGCCCCTGGGCTGGCCAAAGATGCCGGCAAAAACCCAAGAGCCAGGCCCTCAGGCAGGCGTCTGGGCGGGGCAAAAGTGGGGCAGGCGAGGATGCCAAACATGTAATGAACCAAAGAAACCACAAGGCGTGGACACGCAGCTTCAAAAGAAGCCGATGCTTCGGTGACAAAGCTTCAATAGACTGGAGCCCGCGCTTTCGATCAGAGTCAGCCTTTGCAGCTCCCGAAAAACTGGCTCCCTGCTCTTAGGTCTGCACACCCCGATACACAACGATGTTTACGGGCCCCGTCACGCCCGCACTGCCCGGCAATATTGTCTGCAACGTCGGGCACCATGGGGAGCCAGGGCACACGAAGACAGAGGAGTGCACAAACACATAGACGTACCTTGGTTGCTCAAAGACTGCGGATGGTTGCGAAATCCATTTCGCACCACCTAAGAAACCCTGGAATGATGATTCCCCATACAGGTTTCCCCCGGTTTCAAAGTGGTCTCCACAGTAGTTCTAGATTGAAAACACGAAACACAAACGCCACAACGGATTTTTTGAGAAAACGGCGGCGCGTACGGCATCTCCAAGGGGCAAGTTGTACATGTGCCAGAGGCTCTCACCGGCCAGCCAGTCAATCTTGCACAGAATGGCAAAGGTTTCGAGCACCAGCCTCAGCTCCATCTGAGCCCATTTTCCCATGCTACATTGGCAAAAAAGAAAATAAACATCACAGCTCCTTCGATCCAAATTCAAACACATTCACAAAGTTTAACCTTTCTTTGAGCGTATCAAAATTGATCCTCTCTGTAGATTTGAGCACGCTAATCAGTTACAAGCACATTGCAGTGGCGCAACCCCTGTTTGTCATAACCACCACAAGACTGGCCGAGGCGCGTGAACAACTGAACTCCCACGTAGCACTTTTGCCTCAGCATCGATCCAATCTACCCCATCTCGTTGCTACAACTGCGGGCTGCATATGTGAGTGTGCCTTTTCTGCAGGAACCCCTCCTTTGGTTAGCTTATTAAAGGGAAACCAAAAACGGCACGCCATCCATTTTGCCGGTCCGGCCGGGGGAAAAAAAAAGACACGCCCATAGCTTACATGGCACCCATCGCCCGCCGGCTTGCAGGTCCAAAGGGCGTTTTGCTGAGCTCCTCATGCCGCTCCTCGTAGTACCGGGAGGTATCGATGAGCTGCTGCATCAGTGCGCAAACCCAGCAAGAGGCAAAGATGACGTAGTACGGCTTCTCAACAATCCTTGGGCCACACAGCTTCCATGCAACTCGGCGGAAGGGCAGAAGAAAACAAGTTGTGTGGTGGATCCGGTTGACTTTGGCTTGTTGGAGTTAGAGGCCGTGCCGAAAAAGGGGTCAATAGATTTCACACCCAATGCACTAAAGCCAACGCTCTTGAATGACCCTGAAACTGCCATGGCGTTCTCCATCATGAACAGCGGCAAAACGCGACCTCTCCTGGGACCGCAGACGCGGTAATGCCAAGCCTCCGAAAAAGGTTGCAGAACTCCACCGTCACTTGACCTCAGCTGGTGCTCCACAAACTGGAGCAACCTGATCAGCGCACTGAAGATCGAAGCCTACCAAGACCCGTGCAAAATGACCCTCCAGACAGGGGTTCCCCGACAAGATGACATCGTGTTTACGTTCCTTCCCACAAGTCTGTTTCGGGCAACCCTGCGTCCAGACCGCAACATGACTTGCTGATTGGTGACCGGGAGCCAGGAGCCAAACTTGCGGGAGTTAACTTCATGGCCTTGGGGCTTGGGAGCCTTGCCACCTCCAGCATGCTGGAGGTCGATCCTTCGACCCTCGAATCGCGCGCATGCGAAAACATGCAAACGCCCACGCATTTGGAACGGGACACCTAGCTTAACGTAACCTGGCATTGGGAGAGTCGGACCCGGGAATAATGGACAAGGCGACATGACAGACCGCAAGAGCTTTTGTCATACATGCTGTGACACAGATTCCAGGGGCCTTATCCGCTCTGCACAGGGCCATAGCCGAAACCGTGGCGAGCGCATCAGCAAAGCAATCTTCGAGCAACCTGCGAAAGGAAGCAGACGCAAGTTGTGTCAGCCGATGCAGCGAGATGGTGAGCCGGCGAATGCTAGCAAATATGTTGCAATTCGTGCGGTCGTCCTTGTCTTTCTGCTTCATGACGAAGAGGTCAAAAACTTCTCAGCAGCCCTTTCTTGCGCAACACTCGTCAAGCCTCCCGCCCCGGGAACAGCCCTCCGGCGGCAACTCTTCGTTGCAACAGCATCCCACGCGAAGGTCCATCATAGCACCCTATACCACGCTGCGCATCAGCAAGACGCCCGTTTTTCGTGTCGCGACCAGTGGGAATCAACTGAACAACTTGCTCTACCTCAGCTTTTGCCCCCCACACCAAAACCATCAACGCTTTGATCCCCTTGGCCCCCCTTCCCCCGCCCAAACCAGCAGTAGACTGGCAACCATCCTATTCCTCGGCCTTGCGATCGTTCTCCTTATTGGCCCATTCGTCCCCCCATCTGCCCAAACTAAAAAGTAGACCAGCAATCCTATGAATCTGCTCCGGAACCTGCCGGTCCACCTCCGCCGCCTCTCCTCTGCCCAGTGGCTGCTGGGGGGGGAGTCCGACAGGTACGGCAGCAGGTAATGCGCCGCCAGCCGGTCCGCAGCCACCAGCAAGGGCTGCGAGAAGGTCACCACCAGCGCGGCCAAGACCCCCACTCCCCCGCGCCAGCCTCGGACCCTCCCACCACTTAAACCACTTGAGCGCATGGCCCAACAACCATTTGCCACTAAAAACGATCCAAACCCAAAATGTAGAAAGTCCAGGAATTCGGGAACTGAGAACATGATTAGAGTTAGGCCCAGTTGTAGAATGTATCATTTTATTGTTTGCTTCACTTTGAGTCACTGGTAAATGTAAAATGTATCCTAAGTCCACCCCAGTTCACATGGAACCTGACGTTCGGGGGTCCTGGAAGACCGCCTTCCTTTCAAAGGGCCCGGTTGTGTCAGGTTTCACGGTTGATTGGTGGGAAACTAAGCCGTGTAAGTAGGCCATCCCCAGGACTTTGTTCCTTGTGTGGCCCCAATTGCCAGCGTGAGCTTGAAACTGGCACTGGGCTGTTAGCAAGACATCCTCATTGCACGACCTGAATAGTGGCTGACAGGGACGCAACATGACAACACCCCACAAAGCCATCTTGAGGATCCGTGAACATCTTCATTTGAATCCCAGGGCAACATAGATTCCATGACAACTCAGCTGTTTGCCATAACTTGACACAGCCACATTGTGTTCTTTCTGTTCGTGGCTGCTTGAATTAGCTTCACACACTTGCACATACATGCTGTGGTTGAGATTAGGCGATGACTGCAAGAGAGTATGCCCTCCTCTCCTTTCTATTCAAGCCATGCAACGAATTGCCAACACCATAACCCTGCTTATTATATGCATAGTGGAACAGTGCAGCCCAACGCTTTACCGACCCATTCTCTCCAGTTTGCATATGGGCGAAGCCAACCTGTCTAGAAGCCGAGCAAGGTGCTTTGAGGCAACTTGAGAAGCCGAAAAAGCATCGCTGAGCATGCCAAAGCGTCGGATTTGTCCACCATCAACAAAAATACGATACAGGGAATGCAGTTGTTCTTCCAGCGCAGGCATCTGTGTCCGACGGGCTACTCTCACCCTCAACGTGACCCTGTTTTTCGGCGCGTCAAAGATCAGCACAGGGCAAATAAGTGCGAAATAGTGCGAATCAAGGGCCGATGCCCCTGAGTCAGCTTTGGACAAAGCGGCAAGGCCCGCGGCAAATCATCGCAGGGCGGTGCAGGCCGCGCCATGCGGGCAGCGAGGGGTTCGGGGTTGGGAAAGCCACGAATTGGCGTTGCCGTCTTTGACGTCCACGTGTGGTTCATGGTGTTTTGGCAAGGCAGAGATACAGCGAGAATTGAGTGATAACGATACATACCTCGGTTGCTTTCTGCTCCCCTGCTAAAAGTTTCACTTTTAGTGGTTTAATACGGAAAACCCATTAGTTGGCAAAAAGTTAAAGTCCTAACAGCCAAGCAAAATGCACCAAAGATACGTTTCTGAGAACGTGCTAACAAATCGACTCGCCCTACGTCGCAGCTGGGCCGCTGCGCTGGAAAACGGTCAGACCACTCGGGTTTTATCCCCTGCTTTCCCTGGAATGCGAAATCATCAGAAGCAATGCGCAGGTGAGTTTAGCGTCCAGAAATGCATGATGTTACAAACGATACCTAGGCTTGAGTTGAATCAATTTGAGTTAGTCACTTTGAAGGAGTACTACTACGTGTGTGGCATCTTAGCTCGAAGCTGACTGACTTGTTCCTTTGCAAGTGAGCTCCGAAGCCGCTGCGGATTTCGACACGCGAGGTGAGCGAATGGCAAGACGCACATCCAAGTGACGCCATCGCTTCCGTCGGGGTTTGGTGGGTTCGATCACAAGCCGAGCACTGGGCGTGGCTCTGCACGACATCCCAGTTCCGTGGCTCATGTTGACCCCGGATTAATGCGCCCCTATTTATTAATATTGGGGGGGGGTCCCTGAGTTTAGTGGGGGATCAGACGGGAACACCCGCCTATTCATAAACTTGGGTTGGTTAATATCGGGTCAGCATCCGTGCATTTGTTGAAGAAGCAGGTCACCCTTCATCCTGTTGAACTGCTTGCCGGAGCCCGCCCCAGCCGTCACACATACTCAGCACTCCCGAAACCAGTGCATGTTCTCCAAAACGTGCTGACCATGCCCCAGCGACCCTGACCCAAGAGGAAAAGGACATATTCCTTTCCCAACCAAACAATCTCACAACCTCTTCAGCAAGGCCCCGCAACCAAGCATTGAAGGCACAAAGGAACATGTCACCTTGCGGCACACATGGGGAACCTCCCCCCCCAAACAAAAAATCGACACATAAAAAGATAATTTGGAAAACCACAAAACAACATGAATAATTAAATTAATACATAGTGATATATAAGAATAATAATAATAATGATAATAATTGTAATAGCAATAGTAATAAACAATAATGAAAATAGTAAAAATAGCAATAGCAAAAATAGAAGTAATAACAATATAATAACAATAATAACAATAGCAATACTAATAATATAAAAACCGTAATAATAACAACAGGAATAATAACAATAGTAATAACAATAATAAGAATAAGAGTAATAATAACAAGAATCATAACAATAACAATAACGAAAAATAAATAAGAAAAGTAATGATAATAACAACAATACCGGGGAAAATCATATATTCACAACTGGTTGGCTTCCCTTCAGCCAGGGCACTGACCGAAGGGCCACCTCTTTGCCTCTCGCTTGGCGCCGGGCGGGGGGCACCAGCGGCCAGGCCATGGCGTCGGGGCTGAAGTTCCCGGGGGTTTGGATCTCCAGCTCCTGACCCAACTTTGGCGGGAGGGAGGCCTTGCGGGGGGGGAGGGGGGACGCGGAAGGAAGGCGGTGCGGGGGGGGGGGGTGGATTTGGGGGGATTTGGGGGGTGGATTTGGGGGGATTGGGGGGGGTGGATTTGGGGGGATTGGGGGGGGAGTTGGGTGGGAAGGGGAAGGGGAAAGGGGGAAGGATTACATCTTGCTCAGAGTGGGGGGGAGGGGAAGGGGAGGAGGGGAAGGGGAGGAGGGGGGGGGGGGAGGAGGGAAGAGGGGGCGTTGGGGAAGGGGTTGAAGTGCCTACTTCGATTTGCAACGACCTCTCAATGCCTGCCAGACATTTTAGCACCTAGCTCTTGGAAGGTTTCGTGCAGCAAACCCAAGGGTGTGTGAAGAATTCGGCTCATTGCGAGGCTGGCCAGCAAACACCAGCTTGCCAGTGAAAAACAAGCATGCCAGCACGTATGGGCAGGAAACGATCTTCAATATACTACATTTGCATGGGCATTGGTCGATCTTGACACAGTGGGCCTGGCTTGCCGCGATCTTGCCAACATGGAATGCTTGAAGACAAGCATGGTAAAGTCGGCCAAGGTCAAGCTGACGTGCGTGCTGCGTTCGTACAATCATTTCCGGGCCAGAAAGGTTTCCAAGAAGAAGCAATTGAACTTGCATGAGATGTCATGCACTGCCCCAAACTCCTGGGTGCTGCGAAACACCAGATCATCTTCCAGCAGGCAGGCGTTGAAGAGCATACCCGCCTCACGCGCCGCGCCGAAAAATGGCGGCGAGGTCCGCCTTCCGCGCCGCAGCTGGGGGTCGGGCGGAGTAGTTGTCCCTGCCAACTCTGGACCTCGAAGTCTTGGAATCTCATGCGCGGTATTCAGTGCGAGCGCCCAAACTTGGGATTTCGGTTGCATGGCTTTTCCGCAGAACCCATGGCAAAACCAGCAGCTGAGTCTATCTTGAGCTCAGATTTCGGACAAGGCTTCGGGGTCACGGCAGCTTGTCGATGGCCAGGAGCAACGCCTCAGCTCAGGTGGTCAAGGCTCCTGTAACCCCGAAACGCGCACGGACTCCCAAAAGCCCCAAGGAGGCCGGGCTGGGAGCTTCCGTCTTAGGGGTACCTTCCATTTCCATTCTGAACCCAGGGATCCGAATCTTTTCAGGAAACCATCAAAAACCCGGGGGAAACAGCTTGCCGTTTGTTTTTTTGTCGTTGTTGTTTTGTTTTTTGTTTTTAGTACGATGGTTGAGAAGAATGGAAAAGGAATCAACCCCTACACTCGTGTCTTTTTGGGGAAAACAAGAAGAATGGTTGCAAAGAATGGGGAATCAACCCCTAGAATCTTAGCTGTTCGCCTGACGCCTCTTTGCCCATGAGCACATCTTTGGTTGCCCGGCATGGACGAACACCCCACGCCGGGAATCTTCACCGTGCCGGGCTTCCTCCTAGCGGCGAAGCCCACAGGCATGGCGATGCTCAAACTGGCAGACACCAAGGCCCAAAAGTGAGCGACCCATGATGACGCCCTCGAGGCCAAAACAAAGTGTCGTCAATTGCCAAATGGTATCCGGAGGACAGATTTTTAGCCACAACTATCGAAAATGCACCGCCAACCAGCCCAAGTGGCAAAGTTGTGTGTTTTGCATCCTGGTATCTCATACGACCGACTTGTTTGGTCACTGCGCTTTGCTTTGTATCGGCTTTGTTCTATCAGTGTGGACTATGATTTCATGCGGTTCGCGAGAAAATCCCTGCCAGCGATCCGTCAGCGATCCCCTGACACCTTTCATGGGGTTGCCATAGCTCCGAGAATCTGAACCAATCTGGGAGTCGCATTGACCAGGCTCCTCTGCCAGTTTTGGTTCATCACCCCCCCGCCCCCCGCAAGCCCTCCTCCACAGCAGAGATGTGCACTATCTGGCGGCCATTCCTTAGGATGTCCGCATCGAACACGCGAACTCTGTCTCGACTCAGTCGGCCCCAAGCTTTGAGCTTTTGCACGGTCAAGCTGTACACTGGTCCTCGTCAATTTGATGTGAGACACAGCCAAACGCGGCCAATTAATGCACATCTGCTACGACAAAGGCTGTGTGGCCTCTTGGAATTGTGCATCGCTTCTGGGCGAATGTAATCACACTGTGTTCTTGCAGCCGAGCTCCACCGGAGTCGCAATCTAGCCTTCAAACTCTCAAACGTTGAACAACAATGGTATGTGTCTTTTCCCTTTGGTCTCCCTTGAAAACAAACCGGTGTAGGGCTAGCCTCGATCGCTTGCGCCTCCGAAGAGCTTTGAATTGGCCGACGCCACGCGCCGATTCAAGTGCTACTGGCAGGCAATACCTCAGCCGGAAACGCTGCACATGCGCGGCAATCCGCTTGCTGAGCCCATGAATACATATTTGTCTGTCTTTTTGGATGGTACTCTCTTTTTGGGGTGGTTTTAACGTGCAACAAAATGAAAAGAACCGATTTTGATTGAGGCCCTATTTCGAGACAACCTCATTAAACAACCCAACTGTTCAAAAACAACTGCCACAGGGAATGATGCAAAGAGCTAGCGCTTCACTCTAGACTCGTACCAGGTGTTGGCCAGGTGGCGGTATGGAGTCTCACCTCGCTCTCGCACCGGGGACAACTCGGGAGTCCTCCCAAACCATTTCTGTGGGACCCGGTTTGCGCGGTGCTACGTGTCGATTCAGTCAGGGAGCCTTTGGCGAACTGCAGATGCGTTGGCTGCAACTCCGGTTTTTGCCGAGGTCCCGTGTGAGCCGCTGGGAGAGCTCAGTGGTCTTACCAGGGAAAATGCCAGAAGGCATAAGCAAGATCAGCCGCCTTTCATTCGCCCGCAGCTGAAAAGCCAGGCTGTGGACAAACCACGCGACCTCCCGCGAAAATGCGTTTTGCATGCGCCTGCCATCCCGAAACAAAACAAACGCGTGACAACGCCACGAGTTGCCGGGGATCTGAACCACCTCCAGAACATAGGTGGCCTTTTGCAAAAATAGATGGGTTTCCCTGGTAAATGGAAGAAATTCCATCTAAACCAGCGGAACCCATCTATCTTTACTCAAAGTAACCTAAAAAGGACACCTATGCTCCTCACCGCTCCGATCCGCTCGCCCGATCCAAAGACCAACGAAAAACCCGCCAGGTCCAAAGTCCTGGAGGTCCTGGGCACCGCCCCAGCGCGGGTGTTGAAGGCCCGCACGGCCGCCTGCCGCGCGCTTTCGAGTCGAGCGCTGATGCGAGCGTCTGGAAAGAAAACATCGTGCCTCCCTTCCTCCAAAAAAAGTGGTCTGCAAAAACCGCACTCGGCCCGTCCGTGTTTTGTCCTACCTTCGTAGTTCGGACCAAACGTTGAGTCTCGGTTTGAACCAAAAATCTACCCAAACGGCAAACAATTGGTCTGCAACAATGGCCCGGCCATTCAGGCTTTGGTACCGTTCCATTTGGGGCACCTATTTTTGGACCCACCGCCCCATCTCTTTGCTCCCTACCCCCGACTTACAGCTTCCGAACCCAAAAAAACAACGGAGAAAAAAAAAAAAAAAACGGAAAAACACAAAAAAACTCTTTCTCCGCGGCGCCTCGGTGAGCTGCACCCCCTCCCCGCTGTTGCCCCGGCGCCGCCACTCGTCCCGGCGCTTCTTCTCGCCCCGGAGCCTGGGGAAGTTGTGAGCTGCGTGGGTGGCAATCGAAGCTTCGGTCCGCTTTTTGTGTTGTGGGAGGGGGAGGGGGTACCGTACACACACAAAAATATATTAATACCTATGTATATGTGTATATATATATAGATAGATATGTGTGTGTGGTCAAACACACAATTCGGGCAAGGGCGCAGTTGCAGTGCTGCTGGCATCTTGAAGGGCGTTGGCACTCCCACACGTGCACTGGAAGGCATGCGGTTGGTCCGAGTCGCTGTGTCTTGAGATCCGCATTTCTGTCCCAACTGATTCTTGACCTGGAACTCTCCCGTGAGGCGGAAGAAGAGGTACCTTGCAGGCCGAAACAACGCCCTGCAATTCTTTCATCCGGCCTCTCTCTGACTTTTCGGGCATCACTGCGAGGCGCCATGCTCAAACCCATTCGCTGGCTGGTTCACTAGGCAATAAGCTTCTGCGACTCTTTCTTAGGTTTCCACTCCAAGCGACGCACGCTGACCGCATTTGCTGGTGAAACTCGAGCGGCTGTGGCCCTCCTGTGAATCTGCCGGGCAGTGGCTTGTGCAACCCAGGCACCTCACGGAACCTAACGCCTGCCGGGGAAGCCCGAAGAACGGCTCGCCCCTTGGACCCGACGCGAACCAGAGGCGCGTTCACTCCAGCGTGTGCGGCGAGATGCTGCAAGTCACCTGTCGGGGATAGCAGGCGGTGGTGGGCACATGCCGAACCTTGGCATGGCCATAGCCGCAGAAGAAAGGCCACACCTCGTCGCCGCCCACGGCGATAGTGTGCCGGTTCTTGGCTTCAAGGATATCCTCCTCGTCCAGCTGGCGCATGGCCTCCAGCAGGAAATCCGCCTGCTCATCCTTACCTTTGGCCTCCACATCTACGTTCACCCCCCCGATCTCGCACATCTGGCGGGTGAGCTGGGAAGGCACGTTCTCGATCATGTTGCGGCAGATCTGGGACAGCAGCACCTGCTCCAGGTCCAGCTTCAACGGCACCGGCAGGTGCCTCAGCAGACGCATCACCACGTCCACCCGGCGCAGGCGGTGCTGCTCGCCCTTGAGCTCCAGCATCCGGCGCATGTCCACGCGCTCGATGGTGACCAGCACCACGATCAGGTTCCCCCGCTGGAAGTGCTTCTTGGCCTTGGCCACCATGGCCGCCTCGTCCCGCAGCTTCTCGCAAATCATCCGCTCCACGCCCTCCGCCAGCCGCGAGATGTACTTGTCGTCCGAGAAGTCGCGGTCCGAGAGCAGATCCACCGAGGTGCTGCGGCCGCTGCGCATGGTGGGCCGGGAGTAGAAGTGCTCCCGGCCGCTCTCGATGACGATGTTCAGGTAGAACTGCACCGAGCAGGACTGCTGCACGTGGAGCCAGCACCACAGACGCGCTAGCACGAACCATTGCAGGCCGTAGGCGGCAATGGCCCGGATGTTGGCATCGTGGCCAATGGTCTGGAAGAAGGTGAAGAGAGTCTCCAGCAGCCAATAGGCGATCCACCAGCGCACCGCCCGGTTGGCTCCACCCACGTCCTTGGCAAAGTGCATGCCTACCAGCGGAAAGGCTACGTTCCACAAGCCCGGCACCGTCACAGACTGTGCCAGCGCCTGCAGGAACAGGCTCAGCAACCCCAGCAAGGCATGCAAGGCAAAGAACTGCCGTGCCAGCAGCAGCAGCTCGGAGACGCTGAGCCTGTCCGGCTTCTCCATCAACCGGCTCACTAAGTCCCATCGAAGCAACTGCTTGGTGAAGGCGCTGCCAAGGACGTTCTGCAAGCCGAACTTTCGCAGACCATTGATGAGACGCCGGAGCATGGCGGCACAAGGCCGCGCCTTGGAATCTACCTTGAGCTACCGGCGGCGAATGTGGGCGGCAGGCTTCAGAAATAAGGCCACTCTGCCCCCATGCCCCTGACATGCGCACAAGCTCCCTTCAGGGCGGAAACTTCTGCCTCAACCTGCAAGAGCCAATCCTCCAGTCCTCCTCACACCTGGTCGGGTCCTGCAAGACATGCTGCCGAGGTGCTCAAGCTGCATTCCAAGGACTGGCTGCTCAACATGCTCCTTACGCGCGGCACGTCTGTGATCACTCCAACGTGCTTGTTCTTCAAAACGGGTTTGCCTCCAAATGGAGAAGCAACACCCAAAGAGAGGTGACTTCCTGGCTTGCCGTCACGCACAGCGGCTCACGCTGATTGCTGCGCCCTCCAAAGGCCCAAAGACACGGGCCCAGCCAGAAAACGGACGCCAACTTCCGGCCCCCTGCCGAGGCGCAGGGAGGCCGAGTCCGAGTCCCCGCGCACCCGCGCGGCGCTGGCCCCGATGCACTCCGCCGCGGCGCGGTCGGCTTGTCGGGTGAGGCTCTTGCGGGTGACCCTGCGCGCGCAAGGGTTTGGGGGAGCCTCAGGGCCTAGGGCACCCCATGCAGACACATGGCTGTGGGTCAAAAATAGGTACCCCAGATGGAACCTTGGTAAATGAAAACATGGACTAGAACCTGCGATTTGTTTGTAGTGGTTTAATTTTGACCAACACCCACATCTGGCTGAAGCAATGGTAAAACGCCCGTATTCACCGCCAGACGGGCAAGGAGTAAATCTACCACCACAGTCACAAATGGATGCATGAAGTGCGTGAAAGAAGTTTGTTACTAGGCTGGTTATGCAATCAGCTGGGAAGCATCTTGACCTTGCAATTATCCCTCCAAAACAAATGATACTTCGGTCACAAGGATTCTAGAGGAAAAGGGTTGCAATCGTTTTGACTTTCAGCACAACTTTTGTCTGGCCAGTGGAGCACGTGGCCGTCCTGCTGTAGTCTGGCTCTGCGCATAGGCGCGAACCAGTCGAACCAGGCGTTGTCGGCAAAGCTCCCGGAAGCATGTGGTTTCCTCAGCTCCCACTGACTGCGAGCATAGTCATTTCTTTCAACTCAAAGCCCCGGCGCGCATCTGGGAAAAACTGGAGCTACACATGGTCTGCCCATCCATCTATCAACCGACAGTGGTGTTCATAACTTGCCACTTGGGAGCAGGTGTGTGATGGTCATGAATCCGGCCTTCATGCTGGGTGCTGATTGCGGCTCAATGTGCCCAAAGGGCCAGAGAACCAAAAAAAAAAAACGGAAAGAAAAAAAAGAAGAAACAAAAAAAAGCCTTTTAGGACCCTGACCGAAAACGGACAAAACATAGGGCGAAACCTAAAAAACAGGTCAAGTTTGCCCCACCGGCGTGGCCCACCTCTCCGCTGAGTACCTGCCAGGTCTCCCTGGAGCCGGCGGCTGGGGCCCCGCATGGGCGGCGGACACTGGGGCGTGGCCGGTGGGCTGTGGGCCTTGGGCGGCAGCTGCAGGCTGCGCCGGGGCGGCCCCACCTCGCCGGAGGAAGGCTCCGCTGGAAGAAAAAACACAAAAAAGCTTCGGAGCCCCGGGCAGGCGAGCTTCCCCCGGATTCTCAAAGTGGAAACGGATTTCGTCCATCCACAATTGTGGACATGGGCCATACCCCCTACTCAAAAAATACCCGGGCCTTTTTCAGGGTATCAGGTCGACCCTCTACTAAAAAAGGAGTTATTTACCATGGAACACCAGGTTTCCCCGTGGATGGACAAAATCCGTTCGCACCACTTTGAAGCCATGCGTTGTTGGCATTTACCAGAGAATCAGCAGGGTCTCTTAGGTGGTGCAGGAGTTTGTCCATCCACAGTATGTGCATCTTGTGGATGGACGAAATCCATTTCGCACCACTTTGAAACCAGGGGAAGCTGTGGTTTGCGGGCATTTTTGGGGGAATCATCATTTCAGGGCTTCTTAGGTGCAGGAGTTCGTCCATCCACAGTAGTCACTATCAGTCACTAAGCCGCAATGAATCAGTATGCGATAGGTTTGCATGCCATCTTTCGGATAACTCGGTCGAGGGTCAAGCCCGGATGTCTCAACAAGGGGCACGGGGGCTGGTTGACTTGTCGTTTCCCAAACAACCCAACACAAACCAAAAAAAGCAAACGAGTTCGCTGGTTGACTTGTCGCTCAGCCCCGCAGAACAACCAAACCAAATAATCGCAGCGTTTGATCAATAAGTCCTCCCACAATTAAAGACTTATTTCGGGGATCCCACAACATTGCCTGGAACACCAATCTGGGAGGGGGGGGGGAGGCCTGATGAATCAAAAGCGGCGATTAAACCAAACTTCAAGTGACCCCAAGCAACCGAGCCCCGCCCCGCCGAGCGCCCAGCGCCCAGCGCCCAGCGCCTTGGGCGTGGCGACCTCCGGCGTGGAGACCTCCGGCCAGTCCCGGAGCAGCGGGCCCTGGCGGTCCGGCGAGGCCGTGACCCCGGGCTCCCAGGGGCTCAGCGGCAGCGGCTCGCAGCCGAAGCGGCCCGTGACCTGCGTGATACCCAAGCTAGGGAAGCCGCTTAACACGAACCCCCCCCATGAATTTCCCAGAATAAGAGGTTACAAAGGCGTAGTGGCAGTCTTCTTTTGGTAGTTGCAAGACTCATTCATGTGCCCCTTTGCTCCCTGAGACAGCAAGAAAGCGCCCAAGGTCCTAACAGCCCAGAACTCACCAGGCTCAAACTTGGAGAGGAGCCTCTGGCGAAGCTCCATAAGATAACAACACCGTTCTTCACACCAACAGCGGAAAGCTTCAGTTGGAGTCCCAATTTCTAGCTGGGCACCAAATCTCTCGAGTGGGCTGCTCAGCCAGAAAAACCACCCATCAATGAATCAACGCAAGCGTGCCTTCACTGGGGCAGTGGGGATGTCCTCCTCTTCCAGAGGTGGAGCCATTTTCTCTGGGCTGTAAACCCGCGGGGGCGAGCCGGGGCTGGCCGCAGGCGTGGTCGGCAAAGGCGTGGTGGGCAAAGGCGCGGCCGGTGTGGCCGGCGTGGGGGGTGCAGTCTCTGTGCTGTGGTACGGCAACTGGAAGCCGCTTTCGGCCACCTGCTCGGCTAAGCCCTGATCCTCGATCTCCTGCCTCGCCCGCACGCAGTCTGAGACAAACTTGTGAAGCACGCCGAAGAGGTCCTTCTTTCTGTCTTGGTCGTCTTTCGGCGGCGGGTACACAAACCCCAGGTCGCCGAAAAAGAGGCCCAGGTCCCGGTAGCTCTGGAAGGCTTCCAGGCTGGCGCTCCACACTTGCCCGCACTCCTGGCGGGAGGCCTCGACGAACTCCCGTACGCACGCGTGGAAGGGGTCCTCCACCCCGGCGGCGGCCTCGAAGGGGGGGACCTTTTCGCCCCGGAAGACGCCCGTCTCCGCCAGCCGCGCCACGTGCCGGAAGCTCTCCAGCAGCGCCGCCACGTCCGTGTGCACCGTCTGGGCCCTTCGGCTCTCCGCGCTTCTCAGCGCCTCCAGCAGCTCCAGGTGGCAGAGCTGGTCGCAGATGGGCCGCAGCTGCAGCAGCAGGAAGTGGAAGAGGCTCATCTCCCGGCGCAGAGGCGATCTCAGCTCCAGCAGCTTGGGGACGCCTCGGGCGCTGGGATCGTCAGGCGCGGGAGAAGCGGTGGAGTTCTCTGACCCGAGTGCCCTAAGAATCAAAGCGATGGATCCTTGAATGGCACGAACTGACCTGATTCACTGGAATGCACTGGCGTATAGATTGGTATAGGTATGACTCTTCCTGGAAAAAGTTTCTAAAGTTGCCGCAATCCAGACCGATCGAACGGGCAAAGCCTAGCTGCACGACGAACAACACAACGATCTCCAAATACAATTGGATAGGGGGGTGGTGCAAACGGGAAACCAAAAGGATTCCCTCTCACTTCTTGCTTCCGAAAGCAACCCATTTGTTGGAGCCCCCCATTCAACGGTACCGCTGGGAATGGATGACCAAACCACACTAACCACCCACAAGCCGCCCACCCCCGCGTTCCCTTTGGGCGTGCTCAAGTTCAAATTCGGCCAAAAGGGACCGCTCAGGTCTTGAGGGCTTGAGCGTTCAAGCCAAAGCCAAACCAACCAAGGGACAAACATCTTGGCATAGATGGCCTGTTGGAACAATGGATGGAAACCCCATCTAAACCAGCGGAACCCATCTATTTTTCTTCAAGCCCAAAAAAAAGGGCACCTATGCCCCTTGGAAGGTTTCTTTCGGAGTAAACCCCATCTAAACATCTATTTTTGATCAAACCCCCCCCAAAAAAAAAAAAAACACCTCTTCTGCCCCTTGGAAGCCGAGGTTTCTTTCGAAATCGTCGAGGCGCTGGCGAGCTTGAAGCCCCGCGCCGCGCCCTGCGCGGTGCCCTCGTTCAGCGCGTTGCCCAGCGCCAGCGCCGCGGACCAGAAGCGCCGGAAGGCGCCCAGGCGCGCGCCTCGGGACGGGGAGGCGGAGCCGAGGGGAGGCCCGATCGCTTGGAGTCGGTGCCTCGAGGCTCGGATTGTTTTTCATGCGGAACATGGCGGTGGGCTAAAAAAAAGAAACGGAAAATGCCAAAATGGGTGTGCCAACTGGTAAGTGGAAACATGAAGACCTGCGGTTTGCCCCTCCGATCGTTTAATTTCCGTCCCTTTCTTGGGAAAATCCGGACTTGCCCTTAGGGTTCAACCCCCATCCCGATGTTTCCAGGGGTTGGTTCCCTTTCCATTCGTTTCAACCATTCTTTTTGCTTTCCCCAAAAAGACAGGAGTCTAGGGGTTGATTCCTTTGATGGTTTCCTGACAAGAAGGATGCCTGGAAAGAATGGGGAGAAGATAAAACTCCCTCCCCAAAGGCAGGCTAAAACGGAGCTTACCTAAACAGTTGCAGCTAAACCATTGTGTGACTGGCCATAAAAGAGACATCCTCAAAATGACCCTGTAAATAGTGCTTGAACGCAATTCTGAGATGCTCACTTTTAATAGGTTGGGCGCGC